GTTGGAGACACATCAACAAGCACGAAAGATAGCCAACATCTCACCGACAGAATTGAGAAGCCATTCTTCTGATTTGCAGAATTATGGGCCAAATCCCGGAGACAGAGTGGGCGTGGCAACCCACTTCATTCGAACGTGGCGGTGGCTGCGCTTTGGATAGGATTTTGCCGATTCGGAACAACTGTAGCTATATCTTTGCTAAGCATATGACAGATTGACGATTACTTCTAACGGAAGCATCTTACGAAAGCGCATTCTACTTCATGTTCAGATCAAGAACGTAGCCACGCTCACACCATTTCCGGGATAGGGGTGTAAGTAGTCGCATTACAAGTGCCTACTGGTCCATGAAGGCTATCTCAACATTGCTCTGATGGCAAAGGTCCACATATCTAGTTTCGTCTACACCACATCTCCTGAGCAAATCCCATCACTTTAGTTGATGCAGAACTAATGTGATGGACTTCGCTGAAATATGAAGTAATCCGATTGCTCTAGTATCGAATAGAGTGAGTAACTTGTGAAGAAAGTGGTGGAGCAGTGGCTTGTGAACGCACCGTGCGCGTTTTCAGGGGTCCAACACGAGACGGTTCTCTCTCGAGAAATTCGAGCTTTTCGCCTGATTCTCTTTACACCTCTTTTGAAGCATAAAAACATTGACTTTAAACTGGCCAATGACTATTAAATCAACCGACTGTGGCAATCCGTTGTAAAGTTCAAAAGCGCGACCCCTCGAATTTTGTGTGAAACTGGAATGGGTGGCGCGTCCCAGAACCACATAGTCACAAATTATTTTCAATGCGTTACGAGGGTAAGGAAGAGGGGTAAATAACTGAGTATCAAGACTAATGAGCCAAGCACTCTACTGGGCAAGTCGTGTTCGACTTTCAAAACTAGGGCTGTACTTGAGGTCACTTGGACGCTTCAATGAACAATATTACCAGATAGAAGTCGTGTGCTATTCGCTGTTCTGTCCATTTTAGAGGCTATTCTCAGAACCAAACTACGCACTCACCTCCATACATCCAGGTCCACGTCATGTGCGATGTTAACCGAGTCGCAGTTTCAGTAACGTGCTCCCCTCTCCCGCTCTAAAAGGCAGGGAGACAAGGCCGGAGGGTAGCGATACCTCGGCGGCGTCTCCGTCCTCACGCGTACTGTCCCACGGCCGCCTACACGTTCAACCATAGGCAAGCCGCTACTTGTCTGCACCCCTTTCACTTCCGTACTCTGAGTGACGCCTCGTGACCTCGCTGCGGGACTTTGGTATCCACGAGTGCTGCACCTCGATGTTAACGCGAGCATAGGCCGGTACGCCGCTGCTTTCACTCTCATCTGTGGGCGTTTCCAAGTATCAAAAGTGCTTTACTAGTACGGCTGCCAGTCCGCTCTTTCTCACAAGGCAAGGCCTGTATAAGGAGATGAGAAACAAATCCTTTTCAAATGAGGAGCTTTTACGTAGGTCGAAGGCAGGTGGCACGATGAATCCCCGAGATGTACAGGATTAGTACGGACAGAGTTCGGCGCCCCTGAGCAGGCGCTGCGTGACGCCAAGCAAGGTACTCTCGTAGCGCCCCATCAAGCTGCAACATGCCGACCCGGACCCACACAGCCCCCGCCCATCCACAAATGTCCGATCCGAATGGAGGTGTTGATGCTACTATTGATTCATTTGCGAGGTACAATTTAAGAAGGGATTGATATGAAGCGGCTGCGGTGCTGGATGTATGAGTACGTAAACGCAACCGTATCTACCTAGTGGTTGTTGGCACGACGCCGACGGAGAACTCGTCCAAAATTGCTTGCTGAATCCTATAGGACAAGCAGGCCTGCAGCCTTTCGACCGTTTTGCTTCGTCCTTCACCATTTTTCTCACTAGATAGCGCCCCTGCTACCACTTTAGGCAGAGCACTAAATTATGGTGCCTCATGCCTTTAGTTTACTTGGATCATTGCGTCCTTTTCGTTGGTTTATCTTCTTCTCTAACACTTCGAGGCGATGGGGTCCGTGCAACCATGCTCATTCCATGACCCTGCGTGGAGTATTCATAAGTTGCACGTGGTTAGCAGCAGACCGGCTTTCAAAAAGCATATGGATTCGTCTGTTGACGACCACATTCCAAAACCGTCGTGTTGGTTATTGCGCTCTTGTTATAGTGACTCGTTACTAGAGTAACGGGTAGATTAACAGCTGTTTTCATCGATTGTGGTAATGGAAAACTCCCAATTACGTATAAAGCAGATTACCTGAGAATAACTGGTTCAACTATCCATAAAAAGAATTTGTTTCATGCGAGCGGTACTTGATCATTTTTTTATGTCTTCATTCACTACTGCCTATTACTCCTCATGGTCGACATTGTATTGTAGCGATCCCGAAAGGACAAATGCCAACGAAGTTAGACCTCGAATGTCCACTCCAGTTTATGTATAGATCAGATACCACAGTTTCCCATCTCCGCAAACCGTCATTTCGTTCAATATCCTCATCAGTGTTACAAAACAAACTGTGGTCAAAGTGAATCTGGAGCTTGTACGCACAGGGAGGGGTACGGGTTTGACACTCCTCTTGTCAGCGCCAGAGCCCGTCGGCTTTTTTCGGATTCATGTGTAAGCGTATTTTGCACAAAAACTACGCGAATCCCTGCTGGCCTACTTGTAAGAGTGCTGAAACACAAATTATTTGAAAAAAATTGGTCTGCAATGTTTTCGTTGATGTCGTACCTATTCAGTTTGCAAGGAGTCATGAAGGGGACTTATTAGTTATGCGAACATGAGTAAATACCTGGTAAGCATCCGACGTCTGAATACCATGTGGCCGATTCGGTGAGGAATAGTCTTCACAATACTCTTTTATAGAGCGAAGCCTGTCCATTATGATAAGCCACGCTCTCAGTTCTTTTCTAGAGTAATTAGAAGATGTGTTTTACAAGCACATTGACTTGTAGTGGAAATTTTTGTTCTGATTGTGGGTTCTCGGCACTACTGGCACCGGATTTCGATGGACCTTTCTCCGAGTGGGTAGACTGGTCCGAAATTTTGTAACAGGTTCAATCCTTCGGAATTCCACTTGGCGGAAAAACAGTTGACGCCCTAGTTACACGCGTCGGTTCCAGAAACAAGAGTTGATGCCGGCGTCTGCAACTATTGACATTTCGGACCATGCGTGTGTGACACTGTCAGGAGTCTTGGGTCACGTTTACAGCATCGATGATATTGGGTGGTGTGGAGCTTTCGAATTTAGTGCCCCAGAAGTATACGAGCTAAGCGGATTGGTATTTATAGTCAGAGTGCCAAAATAATCCTGATGGCAGACCTGGATGTTGCAGAGTGTCAAAACCTGGCCCTAATTCCGACAACGAGAGGCGTAGCTGTGTTCCTCCCCAGCGGGTTTAACTGTTGTTTCAATTTGATCTGTTCTGTAATTTTATGGCTTCGGGTAGAATTCAGCCACAAAAAAGCAGCAGCGATTTCAAGGCTGCCCTACCTGCACAGGCTAGTGACTCTGAAATGTAAATTAGGGAAACTGGTCATACGAAGAGGGAAATGAATGAAATCTATGTTGAATGTTGGATGAAATGTTAACTTGCAATGTTTACCCAAAAGCGAGTTTCCGAGTTGAAGAGAGCAAAAAACACCTCCTGTCAAACAGTCGAGTAGCCCTACAGCTGTTAAGAACCGAAAAACTGTGATGTTTGTACAGGGTCTCGAGTGTTTCAAACATCACTGCTAAAAATACCTCAGGTGAATAATGTTTTTCCTATTTCATTTGCTGATAACAAGAACGCGTGAGTAGAAGGCAGGTGGTCCAGAAGTGCTTTTCTGACCGGAGAGGACGTCCTGCCCTCGGCTTCTTATCCCATTGTACAGTTTTCGATCAGAAAAGATTGCTAAACAGCACCAGAAAGTCATTTCTATCTCAGTATTGTTCAGAGTAGCTTATTAAGTTCGCTTTGAAGACTACTGTCCATCTGGATCAAGTGTCTCCTAAGGCTCCATTTTCCGAATTCCAAACGTCTTCGCTAACAGCATTGACAGTTCTGATTTACAGTATGACTTTACCTTCGAACCACTTCTGCTTCTGATATTCCTATAAGTGTCGCTCCTTCACCCTGTTTCACCATTTCAAATCCTTTCGATATTTTTCCATCTCAGATTTGTTTCTCACCTTGCTATCCATTGTCTTTTATAGTTCAGGCCTTTTATACGAATTCAAGGGCTTCTAGGGATAATCAATTCCTTTTCGGGTTGAGCCACACACATATTCCAATATCCTATTCAAAGTAGCATTTGCCTTCTAAGAGTACACTCCATATCCCGGACGTGGAGAGAACGTGGCTTCTTCTGAACGCGTCGGCGGCTACGTTATTTTGGTGAGATCTTTCCTTTGTGGCAACTGTTTGCCGCAACAGGAAATACCCCACAAAACACGCGCCAGTGTTCATATACAGCATAAAAAGCGCAACCTCGCCCTTTCCTTTTCCGGGATATGGAGTGCAAACTGCCCTACAATAGCTTCTACTGATGTGTAGATCCGATTCCGTGTTGCGTTTTCATGTTGCTGAGCAGTCTGGCCCAAATGACTCGAAGAATGCTGGGGTTGATCAACCTTGGCAGGAGTCGATCCGAGATTTAATCCCACACCAGGCCTGTGGTAGATCGCGTCGCAGGGCGCTACAGTGGCTTCGATCAGTTCTTCCAAACAATCTTTCAACACATCCAAATAAAAAAAACTTGTTAATAGCTACTCTCTAGGCTTCTGACTACAAATATATACAGCCGTGTTCGTTGTAGACGCCGGGCCTTATCAGAGAGAGACTGAGTTCGCCAGCCCATTTTCCACCAATCGTTGAAGCGAACAAGCGACAACAACTGGTGGGAAATGGACTGGAGCGACGCCAAATCTGGCAAATCTGATACAGCCCAACGTCAGCAGCGACCGACTATAACCGGTTTCCAGTTCAGGAGAGGAAGGGGAAATCTTTGATCCTTTTCAGTGGAATGTTAGCTAACCTCTTACTGCTTGCGAGCTTATCGAATGTCATCAGCGGGTACAATTATCTTGTCGTCTCTCCTTTATTCGGACATTCTCACTCGCATTTCATGGGCACAATAGCCGATGTTCTTACCAACGCCGGCCACAATGTGGTAAGTCCAGCTTGTTTTCTTTTACTGCTTGCTTCCTGTTCTAAGTGCAGTTACCAGCTTTTATTCCTCATCAGCAGATCAGGAGACGGAGTCCACGACTGCAGCATGGGCGGAGCCAGAAAGCAGCGAAGTCATCAGAGCGCCTCTCCCTTCCCAGCTCCTGCGAAGTGCATAAGGGCAAGAAGGAGAGGGACGCATTGATGGTTTCAATTCCTGGCTCTGCTTGCGCGGCAACACGGAGAGGTGTTTCGAAATCTGGTGACAGCTGTTTCCGGTAAACACGATAATGTACTTTATATTACAGACGGTGTTGATGCCCGTGATGGACCCTGATATGAAGGACACAGGTCTTCGGGCGACGAAGAACGTCATCAAAGTGCAGCCGGACAATAGAACAGCAGCCATGTTTGTTCAAAAAGCCAGATTCATGACAAAATTGTGGAGTATTGACCCGTCGGCATACGGGATGATGGAGGTCAAGGTTTTCAGGTGTTAGATTTCGTTACTGAAAAATACCTGAGAGGTGTTTGAAGTGGTTTGCTAGGCGAGAGGGCGGGCAAGAGGTCTCACGGAAGCTTAGTTTAAAGCAGATCATTCAATCTAAACACCTAAATCGGGTGATATCACTTAAAAGTGAGTCAGGCAACGGGTAGTGACAGGTAAGTGTAGGATGAGGTGTCTTCTTCGGCTACCCGTGAGCTGGATGATGAGCCAAGAAGGCGATAGGTGGATTGCCTGCTCGCCATCGAGACTCAAACATGGCATGTTCTCTCGCGACGAACCCATGTCAAGCTAGTTATATGCGATTGAAGTTTATCCACTTTGACTTGACTGAGCCATGTCAGAATATGTGAAGATGT